AATAAATCTTGTTCGGATGTAAAAATCTACGCCGTTCACATGCCATTCGTGATCAATGACTCTTGAAAATCTAATCACAATACAATATAAAGTCACATTACAATATAAACGTATAAATTCAAACAATAATAACTTACCAAAAGACATGTGTAAATTATAATACTTTAAAATTTTTCCATAGAAAACAGTTGTATATGGTATGTCGGCATTAAGCGAACATTGTGCGACAATTATAATGTACTTTCTTACACATCCGATTGCCGATACAGATCAACACATACTGAGAGAGGAGACGGAATGTTAGTAACAAAGAGTCAAAGTTTATTTATAATAGGTGTATATGCCTTGTGGAGACCTTCCGTGTCAGTTTGTAAATTTAAACTAACGGTCTGCTTTTTGATGTTGAGCATCTCGGAAGTTAGGCGTTTCCTGTAGCAAGGTTCTTCATCTAAAACTCTTACGTTGTCCCATTGGAAGTCATGGTCATACTGTAATCTATGCTCCGTTATGACTAATTGAGTAGCTGTATTATATTTGATATGTTACGATGCTTCGTAATTCTGGTTTTTAATTGTCTGCCTGTCTGACCCACGTATGATGCATCGCAATTGTTGCACGAGATCTTATAAACTATATTTCTTTTTGATGTGGGGGGGCTTTTGTTCAAGACTATTCCTAAGGCAGACAGTTATATTAAAAATAGCTTTCAATTAGTTGAAAAATTAAAAAGAATAGATATTACAGAGGATCATAAATTAATTTCCTTAGATATTATCTCTATTTTCACTCTAATCATCCAATTGCACAAAAGAAAGGCACAATTTTTTCGTTAGTCGACAGAGCTTTTTTACTTTCTGACTTTACATTTCACAAGAAAAATTTAACTTTTATTATTAACATTTTACTAGATAACGATTATCCATTGACGTTCATTTTCAACACGGTTAATCAACGTATAAAAAATCTACTTAAAACTAAAAATAAATGTGTATTCAATGTATACTTACTTTCTTAGAAGATTCGCGATATATTTGTGGTGCTAATTATGATAAAATAATTTCATGAGCATGTGATTAAAACAACGGTTAAGTTATTAGTAAGAGAGAACAATGCAAGTAAAAATTTTCCACACAAGAAAAGGAAATTTGATAATGTTTGTCATATAATGCGTGATTTACATTAATGACAAAAAAGGAATGTGGAATTTGTTAAGAAGGTACTGTAGGAAATATTGGTAAAAATGTAGATCAGAGGAGTTCTCTTCCCCCAATGACCTTGACCTTGACATATGTTATCAAGATCATGACCCCGAGTGATCTCGAGGAAATTTTAACTGCAGGACGTTACTCGTTAAAAAGTTATTAATAAAACAATTTTCAGGAATAGTATGTAATTTTCGAACTCATAGCTACATATTTCAGTAACATAGCATTGTAAAGTGTATGTGTGGATGCAGTAGGTGGAGCACGACTCTCACCTTCGACTCTCACTCCTCCCCCCTGCAAAGGGGCGCACGACTCTCACCTCCGACACTCACCCCCTCCTCCCTGCAAAGGGGCGCGCGACTCTCACCTTCGGGTGAGTCGGAGTTGAGAGTCGTGAACTCCTTTGCAGAGAGGGGGGGGGGGGAAAGTCGAAGGGGAGAGTCGTGCGCCCCTTTGCAGGGGGGAGGAGTGAGAGTCGAAGGTGAGAGTCGTGCGCCCCTTTGCAAAAGGGGGTGTGAGAGTCGCTTCGTAAAAAAAGTTTTCATGCTTTTTTCGATATTATGAGTGCTATGTATCCATTACATGATAATTAAATTTATTTGCAAATATGTTGATTACATTTTATTATTCTTTCTTATTGAAGAGGGTGGCTTTCACCTCATCTCTTCTCCTACCTAGGGATGCGCGATTTTCATGTTAAGCGACTTCCACCGCAATTCCCCCCTGCCTAGAGACGTGCAACTTCCACGAATAACATTCGTCGTCGATATAAGTATTGAAGAATTTTTGTGATGTTCAGTATTACCAAATATTTAATTATATTAAATTGATTTTGGTATAATGATTATCAACTTTTTTTGTTTGTAACTTTTTAACGAGTAACGTCCTGCAGTTAAAACTTCCTCAAGGTCACTCGGGGTCATCATTTTGATAACATATGTTAAGGTCAAGGGCATTGGGGGGGGGGGGGCTCCCCTGATCTACATTTTTACCGAAATATTAATAAAATTTCATAAAACTTTTTTTCATATACGACAGGATTAAATTTAAAAATGCGTTCGTAAAATGTCAATTCAATTTTTTACATATTAATTTTTCCATTAAAAATTTTTCATATATTTCACAAATACGTAATGACACTTGCTTATTATTAATGAAATGTATGTACACAAGAAGAGTGAATAATCGTGGTATGAAAATATAGAAACAAAATATTCGATACATGAATACTGTTTTTTATGCAATATATCTATACGCAAATGTTGCATATACTCCCAACGTATAATACATATATTATATGTATACAATATTTCCACGTTGAACACAATATTGTATTATTATTGAGTATTTTATTGGTTTTATAAATATTGATCGTGAGTTTTCTTCAAGGCACATCAAATAATTAAGCGAATAATCAAGCATTTGGCCAATTAAGGAATATTGAGTGTACACATATAGATTGTAACTTTTTTTGGTATTTTGATCATTCTAGACTAAAAACACGGATTTTAATTTTAATTCACCTGCTAAACATCGCAGAGATAAGTAGATAAGTAAATAAGTGAATACGTTGGTAAGTCAGTTAACTGTTTGGAAAACAGTTTTTGTGTATTCTTACTTGTCAATATACTATATAGTATTAATACATTTATAAATTTATAAAAATAATTTTATAATTTTATAAAAGTAACATTGAATCAATTTTTATTTCCATTTTTGGAACATTTTTTTACCAAAAAATAGAAACACATATTAGGAGACGCGGTAGTGTCTCCGGCCATGTTCAACTATCCTAACTACTTTAGGATTAATGAAAATGAAAATGAAAGACACTACAAGTCTCTTATTCCGAG